AGATCTATGCCTGCACATCTCCTGAACTATTGACAGGATGGATCCCCTTCTAAATATATCCCTTGAATTTTTGATAGCCCACTATTGTCACGTTACACAATTTACATATCAAAATTATCGAAATTTAGGTAGGATTCTAGGGATATGACTCGAGCGTGGAACCGTAGGCACAGACTCAACTCGCACCACTAGAAAGAGGACAGTCCAGTAGACCACGGACAATGGGGGACAATTTATCCTCGACAGAAATCTCTAGGCATCATCATTCTGGGCATGTACCTGTGTTTTTGAAGGATATTAAAGTGTTAATCCCAGACACCCACAAACACCATACTAAGAGTTAGGTCCTTACCTGGGTAAATAACAAACACCCCTACTGATTATTGAACGGAGCCACGACTTTTTCCCTTCGTGGCAGGGTTTAGCCTGCTCTTATCTCCAGTAGTAACATGATCAGCCAATCATGACTCCAGGGCTGAGAGGAAAACCCAATGCGTGTTCGACCATGCCGCATTCGGCAAGGCTCAGGAACAATCTGCGGACAGCGAGAAAGCTACTTACCGAGATAGGCTAGCGGCGCAGAGAGACTTGCCCCAAAGTGGACTAGACCATCGCTCGGCCCCACTGTCCAAGAGCAGCTGTTGGTCAGTTGGGGTCAGGTTTTACCCCTGAAACCAGCTTGAGTACTCGTTATTCATAGCGCTACACTACATAGCTAGCTAGTAGCAGGTACAATGCCGGCTGCAGTCTACCAGTCTGCAGAAATGATAGTGCAGATGAGACTCGCCAAGTTGCCGGACACTGCGGCAGGAGAAAAGTGGCTGATGCTAATAAAATTAGTCCCTCCGTTTTTAATGAGTGGTCTTCTAAAGTCATGCCCGTCTGCGGTCTTTCTCTCCTCTGTTCGTCTCAGATTCCCCCTCCGGATCCTGTCGCTCTCTTTCTTTTGCTCGACCCCGTATAGTATTCTTCTACTTGCGGGTGGGCTGAAGACTCCTCGTGCGACTCTATCGCACGTCCATTCCTTCATCCGGATTCTGTCGCTCTTTACTGCCCTCGGGCCATCCACATAAATCCCCCCCAAATCTCGTCGAGCTTCAGCGGAAGCAGTATACGTTCGGGCCTGTTTGGGCTGCCTTTCACTTTGCATAGGATCTACATACTTTTTGACCGCTACCGACCGATCTAGAGAGAGAGAGATCTCCTAAGGACCCCATCATGTTGTTCCTTTACCTCGTGGCCCTCTTGGTGACCAGCATCTGTTCGGTGACCGCCCAGACATGGACAGCGTGCAACCCTCTCAAGAAGACCTGTCCGGCTGATCCAGCCCTGGGTATGAATAATACATTCACTTTCAACCAGACTCTCGACGATACCATCTGGAACGTCACGAACGGAGCCTTGTCGCACACCAGCGAGGGAACCCAATTTACCATCACAGGAGCGAACCAATCGCCCACGATGCAGTCGAATTTCTACATCTTCTTCGGTATTGTCGAGTCCCACGTCAAGATGGCCAAGGGCGCCGGTATCATCAGCAGTATCGTGCTGCAGTCGAACGACTTGGACGAGATTGACTGGGAATGGGTGGGTTACAACACCAGCGAGGTCCAGTCCAACTATTTCGGCAAGGGTAACAATGAGACCTTCAACCGCGGCGGGTATCACTATGTCCCCAATGCGGACTCGGAATTCCACAACTACACCACTCACTGGACCAAGGAGAAGCTGGAGTGGTGGATTGACGGCAATCTCGTCCGGACCTTGACATACGAAGAGTCCCAGGGGAACGGCACGTATTACCCGCAGACTCCTTGCAACATCCGTTACGGCATTTGGCCAGCCGGTATTGAGTCGAATGCGAAGGGCACGATCGAATGGGCCGGTGGTCTGGTGGACTACTCGAAAGCCCCTTTTACCATGGTCCTCCAGAGCGTCCGTGTGCATGATTTCCACACCGGCAAGGAGTACAACTACACCGATCACTCTGGATCCTGGCAGAGCATCGACGTCATCGCGTAAGTTTGCGCCGCTGTTCTTGGCCAAATGCATACTAATCCGATCTCAACAGGGGTAACTCCACCGTGGCCAATGCCATTCTCAACCCACCGAAATCCTTGTCCGAGAAGTGGACCGAGCTCCCGTCAGGGGCCAAGGCCGGTGTATACATCGGGGCCGGGTGCGTTGGAGCGGCTATGCTCGCCGGATTCATCTTCTTCTTCATCGCGCAGCGCAAGAAGGGCCGTCTCGAACACGCGCTCGAAGATGCCAAGTGGGCCAACGAACGTACCGAAATGAGCACTTTCCAGAACGATTGGAAGCAGAGCGAGTGGAAACACAAGGGATACCAGCCGGTCAATTAGCCCTTGCCGTTGTGGTTCCCTCGGCAAGGGATGTCCGCCACCTTGATGCTCTTTTGCCGCTCTGTATGGCGTTTCAGAGACCTACTGTTTATCCCCGTGCTGCTTTGCTGGTCAAACCGCGCGGTGGTATGCATGGGACTCGGGGTTGGGCGTCTGTTTGGTCGACTAGGTCTTTCCACTTACTAATTTCCTCATCTACTCATGTCCATGCCTCGTGTCACATCCGCTGACTCTTCCTGTCATTTTATCGTCTCGGCTTCGTTCCTGGCTTTGTATTCGTATATACCAATGCGCATTGTATTTGAATTTATTGCCTTTGCTCAATCTAGCATTCATCGACTGTCGTCATCGCGCAGATTTGATCATAGACCACTAAACCAAGCCCATGGGTATCAGGATAGTCATGACGAATTCAGATCTAGGGCGGAGTATATAAATAGCCACTGGTGCATGCAGCCTACAACCACCTCTTCTCATCCGACCCCAAAGGCTTCGGCATAACATCCCACCCCACCTCGACCCCCTCCACCGCAGCAGAATGCTTCACAAACGTCATCTCCCCGAACCCCGTCTGCCTCGTCTCGAGGTACTCTCCTGGCACATCCGCCAGACACGTGTAATCCCGCCCCTCGAACCCCGTCTTCCCCTCATACTGCCCCAGCGATCGCAGATACTTCATCACCCCGGCCAGCGACACATCCACCGCCCACGACCCCCCCTCGGCCGCCTGCCGATACAGCGCCGCCTCCACCCCCGCCGCCAGGAAATACCCCGCCGCATGATCCAGCACCTGGCACGGCGCCGCGCGCCCCGCCTCCCCGGCGCCGTAGTGCTCCGCCTCGGACACATTCATCCCGGAGCACGTCTGCACCAGCGAGTCGAAGCCGCGGCGCGCCCGCCACGGACCCGTTGGACCATACGCCGACAGATTCGCGCAGATGATCCCCCTGCCGGCCTGCGCGGCCCGCGCCGCCAACGCCGGCTCTGAGAATCCCCGCGCCGCGAGAGCTCCCGGCCGGTAGCCCTGCACAAAGACGTGGGCGTCGTCAAGCAGCCGCCAGAGATCTGCTTCCCCTTGAGACGAGGAGAGATCGATCTGGATGGTGCGCTTGCCGCGGCCGAATTCCCGGTCGATGGGCGGCAGGTCTGGGAGGTTGGGGCTGGTTACCCAGAGGACGTCTGCGCCGTGGGCGGCGAGGGTTTTGCCGGAGAGTGGGGTGGCGATGACGCGGGAGAGCTCGAGCACGCGTAGCCCGCGGAGGCACTTGTCTGCTTTTGCGCTGCGCATGGACGGGGGGAGGCCCTGGGGCGCGTCGCCGATGCGGCGGAGGAGAATGGGGAGGTCGGCGACGGCACGGGCGTGCGGGGTGACGTCCCACTGGGCGTAGGATCTCAGGGCGGAGATGACGCAGCCGGAGTCGAAGGCGGCGGTTTCGAGGTCGACAGAGCGCCAGGGGGCGATGGCGGCGCTGACGGTGGGGCGGTCGGCGGCTGGTGGGCAGCCTAGTAGGGTTTTTGCGCCGTTGCTGTGGTTGGGGAAGCCGTCGTGGACGCGGACGTAGCCGTCAGAGGTCTGGTGGAGGCCGCTGAGGGGGCCCCAGAGGTTTTGGGCGGGTTGGCCCGAGAGAGTGTACAGTCTCTCGGACTTGAATTCGACGGCGGCGTGCTGGCGGGGCACGCTCACCGCGGGGACTGGGGAAGCCGTGCGGAGGGCGTATATCTGCGCCGCGAGGAGAGCGGAGAGCCCGATGGATGCTTGCGCCAGGTCGGCGATCTTGAACGACGACGGTAGGCCCGGTCCGCTGCCTCGTAGGTCCAGCGCATCCAGCGACTCGGCGGGGAGCCCGAGGTGCTTCCAGATATACTCCACGCTGACTTTTGCTGTGAAGGATGTCCTGTCTGGGACAGGCTGTCGTTCAGGCTGTGCCGGAGCAGCCATGTTGTATGCAGGTGTATGTAGGCTTTGTAGGCTTCTATATCGATGTTTAAACCTTGACGCTGTTGTTGACAATCGTCGCTGCGAGAGGATCAAGGTCCTCATGCCCGCATATCACCTTACCGCGGATATCGGCAACAGTTCATCCAGTCAGTCCTAGTAGTTGTCAATATATTCCTGGTCATGGGATGCCACTGACTCAACCGGATAAGATGCCGAACACGAACCTGCTCGGTAGTCGGAACAGAAGATATTCAGCATCTGCCTAAAAACTGAGTCCAATATACTTACGGCATAGTTCGAAACTCGCTCATGAGGCCAAAAAATCAAAAAAAAATCACTATGATTAGAGGAGAAGGACGGGTGAAGGAAGGCAAAAACAACCAAAAAAGGATGCGATCCCGGTGCGACTCGAACGCACAACCTTTAGTACCGGAAACTAATGCGCTACCATTGCGCCACGAGACCAGATTCTGTTTAATTAGACGGAAAAGATATTTCATACAGATACGGATAGAGCATTGTTGATTGGTGTCCTTAGAGAAGATGATATTCAGAGTGTTCTGGGGTACTTCGTAGCAGAGAACTTCTCAGAAGGCTCCATGGAGGACAGGCCATCCTCGCTTAGATTATGGCTTTGAAGCCCAGTCCCTTCTTTTACCCCCTAATTTAGCTAGTACCCGATTTTGTCTCACCTCCACTCAGCTATGATCCCACAGCAATGAGAGCCTAAGCTCCGGCCCAATCCGCTTAAAGATCCGCGCAGGGACATGCACATCCCTAGCCGCCATATCCTTAACCAACCTGCCGCCCTCCCTCAACAGCGATGCCCAGCGCCGTATCGCTGCAAGCGGATCAGCGAGCAGCACAAGCACCGCCGCATAGGTGATCAAATCGAACTGGCCTGTGCCGTCGCCACCAGCATCTCCTCGCTGATATACCCCTGTTGGTCCGACCTGCGTCTCTGCGAGGAAGGTGACTAGCCCCGTGCCGCAGGCGAAATCGACGACATGTGCTGCAGAGACTCGCAGCGTCGGGCGTTGCCCACGGAACGCAGCAAGTTGGATGAAATACAAGACAGATCGATAACAATCATTCAGGATCATCAGGCAGAGATGCTTTCCATTCATCCACCATCCTATCCAAGTCCTCACCAACTGCAATCTGCCCCGTCTCCTTGTCAATGAACCTCAGATTCTTTTTTGGACATGGCCAGGGAAGATTTTCCCAGGCATCCTGCCATGCCATTAGGCCGTCTTCACAGATGATATGCATCTCCTCCAGATTAGAAAAAAGCTCATAGGACTCAAAGATGAAAAATGTATTCTTGCGCTGAATGGTAAGCTGGCGGATCAGCAGTTGTTCAGCCGGTTCCATTATGTCAAAATCTGTGTCCCCAATTGATATCATGTCGATATCAAAGTTGACCCAGACATACCGCCGCTCAACTGCTGAGGAGAAGATGAAGGCCTGCTGGTATAGTCTCAGGTTTCGGGCTTCATGGCAGGCCTGAAGGACTGCAGGTACCGGTGTTGACGAGGTTACATGCAAAACCTTGCGCCATGACCCAGGCATTTTCTTACCACGGACCTCAACAGTGCGTGGCTCGACTGTCAACTCCCAGATTCGCGCGCGAAGCTCAGTGGGGAGACGGGGGAAAAGATAGAACGCAGCCATGCTGTCATGGTGGCGGCGGAACTTTTCAGTGAGCCGGTCGTCTTGGAGGTAGAGAAATTCACCATTAACAGATAGGGAGCAACGGATAATGTTAAATAGTGGCAGAAGCTGAGGGGTAAATGTGGACACAGTCATATAACCTGGGCTGAGTGTAGTGGTTTTTAGCGCCCCTTCTAGCGTGTCCCCACTTTTACTTAGGCATTATCCTCAGAGGGCACACTGTGTCTGTTAAGCAACCCTTGGGAAGTCGCTCACTGCATGCGCTACACGGAAGCACTGCCTGCTGATTCGCAAGCGGTTTGGGCATTTCTGAAGTTGTCGATGATCACATTGACGTTGAGATTGTCACACCACTAATCCTTCCTTTGCCTAGCAAGAGTTCCCTGTTGGCATGTCATTTCTTGTGTACTAAGTGTGCGTTACCTTGTTCTGATTCTGCGCATTCACCTTAAAACTACGAGCTTCTGCTTGTATCTAAAAATGATCTGTAAAATATTAGAAAATTTGGCGCAAAGCTTAGCCCATGTATCTCCACCAGGATCTCTCTGTCTACTCCTCTACGTCGTACAAACAAACACTGTAATTGCCGAGTGCTATCCACCTTGTTAAGACCCTCAGGAGCTCTTTATCCGTATTCTGATGTCCGCAAGAAGTCATTGCTGAAAACACAAGTGGTTGACACATTGCGGGACCTTGGTCTACTCCAGCTAACCATGTTCAATTTTCGCTTCAATAATCATTGTCTATCTAGTTGACCAATATGGATTTTTGAAATGCAGCATAATTAACTCTTGACAAATGGTCGACAGACAGGATACTCGCTCGAGATTACTAGATGGAGGTGCGTCGTACGAAATTCCCTGATTCAGTGATGTTCACCGAGATTTAGTTCACTCCGGAGTTACCTGCTAGTCGGGTATATCGTGCGACTGCTGAGGACGATTGCAAGTCTCGCTATCTGGGTATACTGTTGTTGTCCCGTCCTTCTGCTACATTGGAAACGCGTGGCTTGAGTGGGCTCTCTGCTGTCGTCACTCGGTGTTCCTGAAACCGGCATGAAGTCTCCAGTGCCTGGTGATGTGCAGAGTAGGTGCCTGACGTGCTGTACTAGGGCCTCGGGGACACTGTGGCATTACGATTTACGATAGTCCCTAGCCGAGAAGACTTTTGATCGACAGGATGACGATTGGAGATTACGTAGTCGAACATCCCTTTGTGTCTCCCCAGCCGACACACTGATCTATCTGATGCCGCTATCCATGCAGGCTGCAGCCGTCAAGAGGTTCTCTCCATGATCGATTGCATGTGGAGTCTCGGGCGAAGATGCCTTTCTTCACGCACTCACCATGCAGTCCGGGTCGACTGCTTGTTGGATCCTTCGGAGCGGTGTCTTCAGACATGGCATACTATGCTACAGCAGGTGTATTTATATTGAAGAAGTTCCCTGCCAGAACCTCTCTCTCTTTCTTTGTCTTCACCATCTCTCCTACTCTTGAGCCGCAATTGTTCTCCTAAGGATACCATGCCCCCGTTCGCGTTCAAGGGCCTCGCCTCGATGGCCCTGGGCGCTGCAGTCGCCCAAGCCCAGCTCTGGGACCAAATCATTCAGACCAACTATGGCCCGGTCCAAGGCTTCAAGTACTTCAACGAGTCTACGCTTGAGAAATTCTTTGGCATCTCCGAGTCCAATGTGACGGCTTTCCTAGGCATCCCCTTTGCAGCGGATACCGGTTATCGAAACCGCTGGAAGCCGCCCCAGCCACGCGAACCGTGGAATGAAACCTTGAAGGCCACCCAGTTTGGCCCTCGTTGTCCCACCGATGAGTCCAGCTACACCAGCGAGGATTGCCTGAGTCTGAATCTATGGACCAATGCCGGCTCTGCGGATGCTAAGCTGCCGGTCATGGTCTGGAACCAGGGCTCGGACGAGACCAGCGATCAGCCCTGGTGGTATGGCGGCGGGATGGCTTTGAAAGATGTCATCCTTATTACCTTCAACCGCAGAGATGATGTGTTCGGGTACCTGGCGCATCCAGAGCTGAATGCAGAGGGCCTGGCAGTCACTGGCCACAATACGTCAGGAAACTATGGGGTGCTTGATCAACTTGAGGTGCTGAAATGGGTGAAGAAGAACATCGCCAACTTCGGTGGTGACCCTGACCGGGTGGTAGTGGCCGGTCAGTCCTTTGGTTCTTCCCAGGTTTACCATGCGGTGAACAGCCCGCTGTTCAAAGGCTACTTCCATGGTGGCATCTCTCAGTCTGGCATCCGATACCCATACGACCCGCTGCTGGCTGGTCTCGCCACTTCTTATGTCAACATGTCCACGGCTCTTATCCACGGTGCCGACTACATCGCCGCCCATAATGTCTCCAGCATTGCCGAATTGCGGACATTGTCTATGGAGGAACTGCTGGTCGGCTCGCAGGACCGTGTCAACAGCACTTGGATCTCGTGGGTCACTGCACTGTCTGCTGGCTATCCCCTGATCTTCAAGCCAGTCCTCGACAACTATGTTCTCCCCTCCAAGTACATCGAGACGCTCCTCAACGGCCCCGCCAACGATGTCCCCGTCATCACAGGGAACACCAAGGACGAGTCTGGCGCCTCCCCGTCCACCGACTACACCGTGGAGGAATACGAGAACTACACCTCGCACAAATACGGCGACCTCTACAACCGCTACATCAAGCTGTACCCGGACAACGGCAACCAAAGCACCGCCGACCGATCCTGGAACGCCGCGGCCCGCGACGCCTCTCTTGTCGGGTCGTGGGCCTACGCCACCGAGTGGTACAAGGCTGCGTCCGCCCCGTTCTACACCTACTACTGGACTCACGCCCCGCCCCGCCAGGACCAAGGCGCCTTCCACCAGTCGGAGATCATGTATGCCCTGAACGCTCTATACGCCAATGCCGACCAGTACCCTTTCACCGAAGCCGACTACGAGATCCAAGAGAAGATGTCCGCCTACTGGGCCAACTTTGCCAAAACGCTGAATCCGAATACGGGCGGCTCGTACACCGGCAAGGGGGCGTTGCCGCACTGGAGCCCCAACAGCCCTAATGGCACCCAGGTGGTCATGGAACTGGGCAATGCATTTACTAATGTACCTATTGCCAAGAGGGACCAGATTGAGTTTCTGATGGAGTGGTACCACCGGCAGATTCCGTATTAGGTGCTACCTGAGGAGCAGGCGTCATGTTTTCAGGGAATGGAAGCATTAGATGTGCTGCAGACGTAGAGTAGCGTATAGCCCAAAATAGAAAAATAGAATGGCCTACAACCATCCACCAGCGTGTCTCTGGTAAAGGACTCCCAAATTAAGAATAATGATGCAGATGAAAGTTGAAACAGAAAGCAAAAAGTTGAATTGCCTACACCTATCTGGCAGATACAGATGAAAAAAAAAAAAGAAAGCAAAAAGAAACGATCCCGGTGCGATTCGAACGCACAGCCTTTAGTACCGGAAACTAACGCGCTACCATTGCGCCACGAGACCGGATTGATGACTTTGGGCAGATTTTATGCTACATATTCTAAACAACACTATTGCATAAAATGTAACTCCAGTGTCTCTACGTCAGGAGTACCTGCACAGTAGGCACCAGTTCGGATGAGCCAATCATATGGCCGCATTAAAATAGGTCTAACGGCATCTCCGTGGTTGGTGAAAGGCCGTCGGTCTTGGACCTCTTGGTTTCGTCTTCTAGACTCTTTGATCTACTAGTCCGGCTGGCAACCTTTTCCCTAATATGGGGTTCTCTCCGACCTGTGGACTCCTGGACATACCCGTGTACATTATTTTCTCAAGCACCGGTTGACTTACCACAGACTCCGATGCATTATTTTGACCTGCAAACAGCCAGCACGGCAAGCCGAGGATGGCTAGGGCCATATTAGTCAACTCAATGCTAGAGAATGATGCGCTTATACGGTCTTTGTGTTCATAACCTGACCCACTAACTCTTGACACAAGTATCTATGACATAACCACATCAAGACGGTATAGATCTTCCTCGGCACTTCTCGTGTTTTCAGGCATAGGGAGTTGTTTGATGATTTAATCCCAAACTCTGATGCATTTAGATCTCACGTGGGGTCGTGGATCGCCAGCCATACGTGGAGTTGGGTAGGATTTAAATCCTTCGACCCCCTCTTTGCGCTGTACACCATGTCTTATCATTATCTATCCATTTTCCACCGGCTTGTATAATAATATTGTCAACTCTGAGGGCTATTATTGAAGTCTCGGTTTACTCCCATGATTCCCGGAGCATCTGTGATATCTCACGCAACATGAGCGACTCGAAAACGATCCCCATCCCGGGGCCCAGAGGAGTGCCTCTGCTGGGAAACATTTATGATATCGAGCAAGAGGTGCCTCTGAGAAGTATTAATCTGATGGCGGATCAATATGGTACGTTGTCTTGACTCAATCTTCTGCACTTCTCTCCTGCTAACTATTCACAAGGCCCTATCTATCGACTGACAACATTTGGTTGGCCCAGAGTATTCGTCAGCACCCACGAACTCGTTGACGAAGTCTGCAACGAAGAGCGATTCACCAAGGTCGTCACAGCGGGGTTGAATCAGATTCGAAACGGAATTCACGATGGCTTGTTCACGGCCAATTACCCCGGGGAGGAAAACTGGGCGATTGCTCATCGTGTGCTCGTTCCGGCCTTTGGACCTCTGTCCATCCGAGGCATGTTTGACGGTAGGGTGCCTGATCAACCGTGCCTTGCGCTTCTCTGACATGACAGTCAGATATGTACGATATCGCGACACAGCTCGTCATGAAATGGGCGCGACAAGGCCCGACCGTTCCCATCATGGTGACTGATGATTTCACCCGATTGACCTTGGACACCATTGCCCTTTGCGCGATGGGAACCCGGTTCAATTCTTTCTACCACGAAGAGATGCATCCTTTTGTCGAGGCCATGGTGGGCCTGTTGCAGGGATCCGGTGATCGGGCTCGTCGACCGGCGCTGCTCAACAATCTGCCCACGGGTGAGAATACCAAGTATTGGAACGACATCACCTTCCTACGGAACCTAGCGCAGGAATTGGTCGAAGCGCGGAGGAAGAACCCCGAGGATAAGAAGGATCTTTTGAATGCGCTGGTCCTGGGGCGTGATCCCAAGACTGGCAAGGGCTTGACCGATGAGTCAATCATTGACAATATGATCACATTCCTGATTGCTGGTATGTCCTCTACCAGTTTACTTCTTAGCACTCTCAGCTGATGATACAAGGTCACGAAACGACGTCCGGCATGCTCTCCTTCCTCTTCTACTACCTGCTGAAAACCCCCCATGCATACAAGAAAGCGCAAGAGGAGGTTGACTCTGTCATTGGACGGCGGAAGATCACTGTGGAGGATATGTCCAAGTTGCCGTATCTCAACGCTGTGCTGCGAGAGACGCTGCGTCTGAAGTCTACAGCCCCTCTAATTGCTGTACATGCCCACCCAGAGAAGAACAAGGAGGATCCCGTTACGCTGGGAGGTGGCAAGTATGTATTGAACAAGGATGAGCCCATTGTGATCATCCTGGACAAGCTGCACCGCGACCCCCAGGTCTATGGTCCCGATGCAGAAGAGTTCAGGCCGGAGCGAATGCTCGACGAGAACTTCGAAAAGCTTCCCAAGAACGCCTGGAAGCCGTTCGGCAACGGGATGCGGGCTTGCATCGGCCGCCCTTTTGCCTGGCAGGAAGCCTTGCTGGTAGTGGCCATCCTGCTGCAGAACTTCAACTTTCAGATGGACGATCCCAGCTACGATCTTCGCATAAAACAGACGCTCACCGTCAAACCAAAGGGCTTTCACATGAGAGCAGCTCTGAGGCACGGCCTGGATGCTACCAAACTCGGCATTGCGCTGAGCGGCACCGCGGACAGTGCGCCGCCAGAGAGCTCGGGAGCCGCGAGCAGGGGTCGCAAGCAGGCCGCACCTCCTCCTGGTCAGCTCAAACCGATGCACATCTTCTTCGGAAGCAACACAGGGACGTGTGAGACATTTGCGCGCAGATTGGCCGACGACGCCGTGGGATACGGATTTGCTGCCGACGTCCAGTCCCTGGATTCCGCCATGGAGAATGTTCCGAAAGACGAACCTGTGGTGTTCATCACGGCATCATACGAAGGTCAACCGCCCGATAACGCTGCTCACTTTTTCGAATGGCTCAGCGCCTTGAAGAAAAATGAGCTCGAGGGTGTTAACTATGCCGTGTTTGGCTGTGGTCATCGTGAGTTACCTTTCTCTCTTCCTATCGGTCTATACCTATCTTACCATGCCTATGACTTTTTGTATACCGTTGCTAAGTTTAGTAGACGATTGGCAGGCTACCTTCCACCGCATCCCCAAAGCGGTCAATCAGCTTGTTGCGGAGCATGGAGGAAACCGGCTGTGTGATATTGGACTAGCCGATGCGGCCAACTCGGACATGTTCACCGACTTTGACTCCTGGGGCGAGTCCGCCTTCTGGCCTGCAATCACATCCAAGTTTGGAGGTGGAAAGTCCGACGAGCCTAAACCGTCGTCCAGTCTCCACGTAGAAGTCAGCACGGGAATGCGCGCCTCGACCCTCGGTCTTCAGCTCCAGGAAGGATTCGTGGTCGACAACCAGTTGCTTTCAGCACCCGACGTCCCGGCCAAGAGAATGATTCGGTTCAAACTCCCCTCGGAGATGAGCTATCGATGTGGAGATTACTTGGCGGTGCTGCCCGTAAACCCGACCAGCGTCGTTCGCCGGGCCATTCGACGTTTCGACCTTCCCTGGGATGCCATGCTCACAATCCGCAAACCGAGCCAGGCCGCCAAGGGCTCCACCTCGATCCCCCTTGACACGCCCATCTCGGCTTTCGAACTTCTCTCCACCTACGTGGAGCTCTCTCAGCCGGCCTCCAAGCGCGACCTGACCGCACTGGCAGACGCCGCTGTCACCGACGCCGACGTGCAGGCTGAACTACGCTATCTCGCGTCCAGCCCTACTCGATTCGCCGAGGAAATCGTCAAGAAACGGATGAGTCCGTTGGATTTACTGATCCGGTATCCTTCAATCAAGCTGCCCGTCGGCGACTTCTTGGCTATGCTCCCGCCCATGCGGGTGCGTCAATACTCCATCTCCTCTTCTCCGCTGGCGGATCCCTCCGAATGCTCGATTACGTTTTCTGTGCTCAACGCGCCATCTCTGGCCGCGGCATCCTTGCCACCGGCCGAGCGAGCGGAAGCTGAGCAGTACATGGGAGTCGCCTCCACCTACTTGTCCGAGCTGAAGGCCGGCGAGCGTGCCCATATCGCCGTGCGGCCGTCTCATTCCGGCTTCAAGCCGCCGATGGATCTGAAGACGCCCATGATCATGGCGTGCGCGGGCAGCGGACTTGCGCCCTTCCGCGGGTTCATCATGGATCGCGCTGAGAAGATCCGGGGGAGACGCAGCTCGGTCGGAGCTGAGGGCCAGCTTCCCGAGGTTGAGCAGCCCGCCAAAGCTGTACTGTACGTGGGCTGCCGCACCCAAGGCAAGGACGACATCCACGCGGCTGAGCTTGCCGAGTGGGCTCAACTGGGCGCTGTGGACGTGCGGTGGGCTTATAGCCGGCCCGAGGACGGGTCCAAGGGCCGTCATGTGCAGGATCGGATGCTGGAGGACCGTGAAGAATTGGTCAGCCTGTTTGATCAGGGCGCTCGCATCTACGTGTGTGGCAGCACGGGCGTAGGGAACGGGGTGCGCCAGGCCTGCAAGAACATTTACCTGGAGAGGAGACGCCAATTGCGTCAGGAGGCACGAGAACGTGGCGAGGATGTCCCTGCAGAGGATGACGAGGATGCCGCGGCCGAGGAGTTCTTGGATAAGCTCAAGACAAAGGAGCGATACGCAACGGATGTATTTACTTGAGGGATGTATATGCTGTCAGTTGCCAGGCCCAGAATGAGCTTCGAGTCCAGGAGGTCTGTCTCCGTCCTATCGCCATAAACAGGCTGCAGATTATGTTGTATTGGCCTTATCATCTAGCGTGCTTGGCTGCAGCTTGGCTCTACAACGTGGGCTTTATCAGCGACGGTTACTGGTGCAAATGACCGGGATATGTAAATTGCCCTGGAAATTAATCTACTTATCTCCTGACGATAGTTAGTTAATATCTGTATCCAAGACAATTGCCCCGGAGTCCGCCGAGGTGACTGACCCCTCACGCTTTCGCGTATAAAATATGAAGCCAGTCTCGTCCTTCCACGACCCTTTCTAGGACACGAGATCATTCCTCTTAGTAAAGTCGGTAAAATGAAGATAAAAGCATTCTCCCTTTTCTGCGTCTCGGCGCTCGTTTCCTCCACCTCAGCCCTCACCATCAGCCAGATCAATGGAAACCAATACCTCTCGCCCTACGCAGGCAAAACAGTCTCCAATGTCCAAGGCCTGGTAACAGCCAAAGGCTCCGCAGGCTTCTACCTGCGCTCCACAACCCCGGACGACGACGACGCCACCTCGGAATCGATCTACGTCTACGGCAGCGCGGCCGTGTCCAAAGTCTCCGTCGGCGACATCATCACCCTCACAGGCAAGGTATCCGAGTACCGCTCGTCATCCGCGTACGTGTACCTGACGGAACTCACCTCGCCGTCTGCCATCAGCGTCGTCTCGAGCGGCAATGCCGTTGTCCCGGTGGTGGTGGGCAAGGGCGGCCGAGCCCCGCCTACGGCGCAATTCTCCTCGCTGGATGGCGGGGATGTGCTCGGAGTGCCGAACAATGTGAGCCAGGTCAGCAAGGCCAATCCGGTGCTGCAGCCGCGGCAGTGCGGGATGGACTTTTGGGAGAGCCTGAGCGGGGAGTTGGTGAGGGTGTCGAATGTGCGAGCGATTGCGAAGCCGTCCTCGTATGGGGATACGTGGGTGCTTGGGGATTGGGAGGTGAGTGGGGAGAATGAGAGGGGTGGGTTGACCATGCGGAATAAGGGTATGCCTTTCCCTCTTCTCTTCTGATTTTGTTCTTGCCGGTTCCGGTTCCTGGGCGCCCGTGCAGCAGGTGATGAAGGCTACGAGGTGCTGATGTGATGAGCGTAGATCTGAACCCCGAGGCTGTCATCGTTGGGTCGCCGCTGGATGGCAGTAAGAATCCGACCGATACCAAGCTGGGGGATTCGATTGGGGATATCACGGGGGTCATTGCGCCGGCGTACGGGTACTATGCGCTGCTGCCACTGACTGCATTGACTGTTACCGGGTCGAACACGACGGCCGCTGCGGCCACGGACCTGGAGTCGACTGGAACATGCGGCGCTGTGACGGTTGGCTCGTACAATGTCAACAACCTCGGTCCCGACTCGACGACGCTGCCCAAGATCGCCCAGCACATTGCGCAGTACCTGAAGAGTCCGACGCTGGTGTTTTTGCAGGAAATCCAGGATGATGACGGGCCGACGGATGACGGCGGTATGTCTTCCGCTCTTGCTCCCTGACGAGCTGGCTAATGCTATGGTGCAGTGGTATCCGCCAACAAGACGCTCTCAACACTGGTGCAGTCCATCGCCGACCAAGGCGGCATCAACTACGCCTTTATCGATATTGACCCGGTCAACAAGGAGGACGGCGGCCAGCCCGGCGGAAACATCCGTGTCGCCTACCTGTACGACCCGTCGGTCATTCGCCTGCGCAACGCCAATCCCGGCTCCAACACCGATGCCAATGAGGTCCTCGCCGGCGCCGAACTCAAGTACAACCCCGGCCTGATCGACCCGTCCAACGACGCCTGGGACGACAGCCGCAAGCCGCTGGCCGCAGCCTGGGAAACGCTCGACGGCAAGAACAAGTTCTTCACGGTGAATGTGCACTTCACCAGCAAGGGCGGCGGATCATCCATCGAGGGCGATGCCCGGCCGCCGGTGAACGGGGGGGTCGCCAAGCGCGAGGCGCAGGCCAAGCTCGTTGCTGTACGTTGTCCTTGTTTTTTCTCACCTTGAACGAGTCTAATGACAAAAGGCATTTACATCGTCCATCCTGGCCGAAGACTCCTGCGCCAAGATCATTGTGTCCGGCGACTTCAACGAATTCACATTTGCGCAGCCGTTGGAAACCTTCCTGGCTGAATCCGGGCTGGAGGATCTCGATGAGGTCGCTGGCATTGCGACTACGGAGCGGTACACGTATCTGTACGATATGAACTGCCAGCAGCTGGACCACATGTTTGTGAGCCCGGCGCTGGCGAAGGGGGCGCAGATGCACCATCTGCATGTCAACACCTGGGTTTCGTACGGCGGCCAGGCGAGCGACCATGATCCTACGGTGGCGTTGCTGAACGTGTGTAGCTAGCTTTGATGATCACTGTCCAATTTGATGTGCTGGAGATTGCAAAGCCCTTGCTCTGATGGTTTTGGTACTTGGCTATCCAGTCTTTGTACATCTTTGGGGCGGCGGTGGCGTTTGAGGATTGTCTGGGTGTCGTGACTCAAGTGGTTCAAGTCTTTGTGGTGCCATAATGATCAGCACATTGTAGATACTGTGTAGTGTATGTTATGCCTGAAAGAGCGGGTGTCATCTATACCTACTTTATTTCTAAAGTAGAATCACAACTTACTACTTGCACCTCATAAGCACGTCCACGTCGGGGTTGATCGTCGCCTTGGACCTCGACCTGGATACGCTCCGTCTCCATTTGCGCTGTTCCTCGAGGATACTGTTAGATACAGATACATATAGTAGGTATTATCTGTATCTGTATACCAACATAGCAATGATTTACAGAACAAATCACATATAGAGTACAATCAGTTTAGATGTACAGGACACAACCAATCAGGTTGTGTGATCTTAGATGCAATGATTGATAAGATTGGCATATTATATTGGCTGCTTTTTATTGATATTGCACCTGATAGGTATGCATTATTTTACTCTGATAGTGCACTTCTCAGGGTTATAGGACTGTCTTGATTGTTTATATACATTGTCTGTCCAACCCATCAGTCCATAGGATAGAGACTCCGCCGACAACCCTGGGATATCACTCCAGAAAAGCACATCTCCATCTGATATGAGCCTTACTATACAGAAACAGGTAAGTCTGGGTGACAATGGAAAGGACGCAGTTATCGTGGCTTTTAGGAGAGCTTCATAGGGTAGAAACGGTGTGATCACAGCTAGACCATCATCTCCTATTAGCCATCCAAGAGTATGACACCTTGCGCGGAGCTTGAAAGCAATAAATGAGACTTCTGAAACGTAATTACAGCATTAGACAACAGAAAATGGGGAATGGCAAAAAGGGCCTCAGCAAATCTCTCAGGTATGTGAGGAAAACAATAATGCATGTGCCAGTTGAAGCAACCACATAAGATCGACTGTAGACACACGCCAATAGCATGCAGTACAGAGATAGAAGATGCTACAATTTTTTCAGTAGGGAGTATTATGTGCGCGTGCAGTATCACTATTACCAATTATCCATCTGCTAACCCCAAGAGACCAATGGCCCTGAAGCATTTCTACATTATATAGATGCAGAAGATGACCCCAGGCATGTTGTGTCACCAGTCACCACTGCTGCTTGTAGCAACAAACTTATCTCTGTCCCATTTTCTAGGCTCAATCAAAGCGTTAATAAAATGTAGTAGCATACTACATTGAGGTAATGGAATGTTGTGTCACCGTGCCGCTTGAAACATGGCATGTTGTGTTACACTACACTGCTAGAGTCCAATACATACTAGACTTGCTAGCATGGGGAATGGTCTTTATCTGGGATGCCTTTCATCCGTCATTCCAAAGTTTTGAGAGTATAAACAGACTGAATCTCCTCCGGTAACCCTGATCGGCGTTCATCTCGCTACCAAACAAGTACTCACCCTCGCTATCACACGGGTAAGTCTCGATGTCTCTATGTTTCAGGGGAATGCTAACAACGCACCGCAGAATGAAGTTCTTTTACCTTCTTGCCTCTCTCTCTGCTATAGCTCTGGCTGCACCCAGTCCTCAGACCCCTTCGGGCATTTGCCTTACTTTAGGGGCCACTTGTAAGACAATCTTAGGTTCGTTCGGAACCTGCTGCGAAGGACTTGAGTGTGTATCAAGCCCATTCATTTTAGCGATGTCGGTGAGTATTATGTGATCAGTATGTGCAGAACCTGGCTGATTCTCGCATAGTCCTGTCAGATGAAGATGCAGACTTGACACTATATCGGAATGGCAGGACTGTTGAATGCACTCAAAATAATCCTTTTAGCTAGTCGATATAATAGTGCAGCGACATGTATGTTAATGCTCCTACTATGCGGAAGAGAGGAGTACATCCACCAGAAGAGTACTCCTAACAAGCTCTCTGCTTATCATGGGTTCACTAGTCTGAGCAGCATGCGTGTATATAAATCTACTTGTTAAAAATGTTATTAGTAATGGTTTCTAGTACCCTGATCTTTGCCTTAAGCGTGTATGTGAGCTATTAGCTTCGTGTTGTTAGCCTTAACCCTTAGTGGGTAATGACTGTGCGGACAGCAAGCTGTTAGGCATCCCATAAATAGTATATACTTAACAATATATATTAAATAAGCTTAAATGTTAAGTAGAAATCACTTCCAGAGAGAGTCTGTGGAAGATGCTCATGATATAGGAGTAGTTAAGGAGTGGTTAAGGAGTCATATATACAAACAAGCAAGCATAATAAATAGGTATATTAATTAGTTTCCATAAGATTATTGTAACCTTTTGAGAGGCACCTTAGCCAAGGTCTATATGTCCTTGTGCCCAAAGGTCAATATGACCCTTTCTGGATCACTCTGGATGAAAATACAAACGAAACCATGACTTCCAGATGAGAAGTAGAGCACAGCATTATATGACGCTGGTCAAGATGATGAGAAATCCATCAGGCAATGATTGAAAGAGCTATCAATTTTACGGTCGAGCCGAAATATAGCTCATGTCATGCCATATATTCATGATGCCGTCAAAAATGGCAGAATACTACCTCGACCTCGGTTGATCGCCGAGAGGTATCATCGACGGAATACCAAATGTGTCGTTGAAGAGATCTTTGACTGATACTCTCGGCTCTGAGACGACAAAGGGGCCCCAGGTGACTGTCTCACGGGAGTTGTCAACCTTCAAGTTCGTCGAAAATCACATAGACCTCCCCTCGACTAGCGGCCAGTGTGGTAAAGTTGCAATAAGTTGCAAACCATCATGTTTCACCAGCAGATCATCCAGGTGGAATTCCCAGGCTGCAGCAACCCGATCATCAGGTTTATATGAATCACAAAGTCGAAGCTCCCACTCGGCGCTAAACGAGCCCGTTGTGTTTGAGAACCTGAAATTCAGATTGGTCGAGTGATTGAGATCAAAATTGATGGCCGTCAAGCGAGGCATATGCCTGGCGGCATAACCTAAAGAGATAAATAGTCGATGGAACTGCTCTTGCTCGAAGATGGGTCGCTGCATGCATCCTCTTTCAGAGTCGCAGATTTCTGCCTCCCAGTCGTCGATCGCAGCGATCATGGCTTCATGCTCTGGGGTGGGGCGAACGATCCATTCACCTATTGTATATTGACAGTTAGTGACTTAAATGCAATATCCATACAACATTTGAATATTGAGCAAAAGTTCTTACCTGAAGGAAGCCACGGCTGGAATTGCTGTAGAGTCAATATTTCCAAATTAGGCCAGTGTAAAGATGTGTTACTAGCTAGTGAATGACCTTTCTCATCCAGAGGCCACAGAAAATCTAGAGACAGAGGGACTTGAACCAGTCTCAGCTCACGAAGGGAAAGGCTTATATCTCGAATGCTGATGGATAGGAAATCAACGCTCGAGGATAGGACATTCAAGGCGGGCATGGTATCCTTCCAATTACTCTCATGTCCATTTTCAACGCAAAAAACCCTCAATGTGGAATAAATGTGTTTCACACCTTCAGATACAGCTGCCAGAAGATCAGTAAGGCTGTAAAATATGCTGTGGGGCTTCTGATAAGCAGAAAATGCCTCATACCTTGACGCCGTTCTTTCATGTATTCCAGATGATCTGGTCTGATATAGTCATCCAAGTCTAAGTGCAGCTCTGTCAGTTCCGGACAGTGGCGAGCAATCTGCATGGCCGCGCCAGCCCATATCTGGGGAGGAAGCGATATTTTGTCTATGCAAGGAACATCGCGTAGAATTGATGCACCATTATCATGGAATCGCGCGCGATATACGGGAACAGACCGCGTGCGCCCATCTGTGTAGTCCCAGGTATACAGTCCAGCTTCATCATCTTCTTCTGTAGAAGGCTCCTGGCCTAGCTCACGCCCTTGGAGAACTAGAGAGACAGAGAGGCGACGAGTCTTATCCCATGACTCCAGCGTGTTGAATAGATTCACGATTGCTGTTTGAAATGCAGTGTCATTTGCCTGTCGAATGGCATTGTTTGTGCTGTAGCCTTCCTCTTTACGAGCGTTCCAGTCTGGGAGGTCAAAGGGGACAACAATATAGTACTGCAGCTGACGAATCCATGCTCGCCTTGCGACTCCTGCCCCAGAACTGAGTTCCTGGAATTGTCCGAGGCAAATCCCGCCTTCATTGAAGCCATCCTCACTGTAGATATTCAATGTGGAGTATATGAACGGCTCAAACGCTGCCTGCCAGTGACGGCAGACGGCTGTACATGCAACTAGGGAAGCACCTGCATTTTTAAGATACCCTGCTACCTCAGCTAGAAGCTCAAGTGGGAGTGAGGCTGCCATATCTGTCGCAATGAGGAGTGGTTTATAGCAGGCTGGTTGATACTCAACCACTCTTGAGTTGGAGGTTGTACGTCCCACGGCGTGTAGAAAGTAGTAGGACTTCGGCATGGGGCAGGCAGTGAAAAGCGGCAGACCGGCGGTTCAATGAGGGCTGATTTCAGCGCCCCGCTAACCGTCACAACATATACCTGCAAATACAGAGATGCACTAGAACAAGCTTTATGTTTATCAACAATTTATCAATCATAATAAGTATAAAGGTCATCTAAAGGATGGTGGTCATAATGGGCCCGCCAAGTTTATGAAATCAAGTGTGTGGAGGTAGACTCTGCTAGATATATGACCAGTGTGTTAGAAAAGTATCATTAAATGAAGCCGATACTAATACCAACAATGATGGAAAGCTGGGCCAAAATCAGATGGTTAGCCCTTCCTCCATGATCCTGGAATTTCCCCATACTGCTCGATCATGTAAGGCGGCCGCGCGTAGAAGTTATACCACCAGTCGTACTCATTCAGATGGTCGTAATAACCCATATAGTCATCAACGCTCATGTACGTCCAGCCAACATCCTCGTCGTCCTCATCCGTCTCACCGTCCTCGTATTCTGGATGTACGGCATAGTTTCGTTCATGGGGCTTCAGGGGTCCCCATTGTCCCCAGAGCAACTTCACCACGGGACAGCTCATCTCATCCAATGACTCAATGCAAATATCGTCCACAAAGAGACAAAAGTTGTATCGCGTACCCAAAGACCATTCTGGACGAAGGCCGGTCAAGCTGCATTCTTCGCGTGCGAAGAACTCATTTGGTCGCGATACCACCCGGGGCAATTCCTCAGCCACCCAAGCGATAATATGATCGCGGACGTCATGCGAGGTTGCTCCTTCCAAGGTCTCCTTGTTGTCCACTATAACCGGCTTGTGCCGCGGATACAGGTCCATCGCGTCGTAGAACTCGAGCGTGCCGCGGACAGTTTCGTCAATAAGGTGCAGCATGCGCTGCCACGCCTTGTCATTGCTATAGTCACAGCGGTAGATATTGAAGCCCCAGGGAACATCCGGCTTCAGGTCGGGATCCGAGAGATAGTCATCCAGTAATGCTATGTCACTTTGCCGAGACTTAGAGTCTATACTTTGCGTAGAGAACCCGAGTCTTGCGAAGTAGCAGGAGAAGCGAGGTACGGTTGAAAGTGTGCCAAACCGCAATCCCAGTGTTCTTGAGGTGGCTCTGTTGGCTACGGAGCAAAACCTATTCATAATTCCCAGGTTTCCTTTCCTGCCTACTTTTCGGATGGAAGAATGGGGAGATTTTAAGATAAAATAATGAGATCTGCACCCCTAAGATATTTAGAGAACGCAGTGGGCACAAATTATAATAGCAGATTGCCTATTTAGGCTTAGACCTATAGGGGTAAGAATAGAGTAAAACACCCAATGTAGCAAGATTTGTACCGGCATCAGGATAATCAAGATTAGTTTCCTGGTTTTTAGGACTTTCTGGTTCTCCAGGTCAAAATTTCGACTCATACTAAACCAGAGATTAGAAGCGAGGGAAGCTGCACGACTTGAAAGCCCACGAGGCTGCAACAATGCGCAAAGTCATCGGCGCCTTCTCCATGACATTCCATACTTTTAAGTTGGTCTGTTAAATTTCGTACCGAGGGCGAGGCATAAGAAAACAGTTAACCTGATCCTCCTTCGGACTTGGCAGGTGATTCGAATCGACTCTATCGACTCCAAGCGCTTCTTGTCTCATCGATCCGGACGCTAACATTTGTCTATCATGTGCGAAGGACATTGCATTGACTGAACCTGTATGGCCCTCACCCCAAGGCACTTCTAACTGTAGTGATTATGGGTGATTGTTGGTGCAATTGTTGGCTTCCTTGTGCCAGCTAACCTATTCAGCCAATGCACCTTACCTCTTCACAACTGACCTAATTATATATCTCATGAATGACCATGACTCGAGTTCCATGTAGACAGAGAGGATGGAGTTGTCTTTAGTATAAGTTGAAAGGTGCCTTAATGGTGTATAGCAAGTGATGGAGTATGTGCTCTAGCAACAAACTATAAGTTAGTCTAAGCCAGCTATAAACTTGCTGCTATCCTAACCCTTTTTCCCTCAATGATATCATTAAGAGAAGATGACTCCACCACAGCAGTTTAAGGTATCACTGACAGTAAGTTATGTGCATACACAGTGTCCGTCCCTGCTGCTTAAGCCTTGTGGGTATGGTAATGAAACTATAAGTACTAAATATGTGCACAACCTGAATCCTTCTAGCAGCATAAACTAGATGCTAGAGCTGAAATACATATCATTTGACAAAAGTCAATCCGCCCACATACAAAAGATGCACTTCGGCACAGGTCTCAGACGATAATAAGTCATCCAGAATAAGCTGCATAAGTGGAAAGGCTGAAGTTCGCAAAATGGAGATAACAGACTTAGGATGAAGAAGTAGAGGGAAAATGCCGTGATCTTCTACCTTTGGTCCATAACAACCCGCCGGAAATCCCTCGGATATCAGTCCGGAAAAGCACCATCTCCATCGGATATTGGTCTACTATATAATCCCCTCACAGCCATCAAAAAGCCACCGTATCATGAGCCTTGGAAAAAGTAAAATGGCTCTTTCTAATTCCTACCCCCTAAAAACAGGCCACAGCATCCCGGCCATCGGCCTGGGGACATGGCAGTCCAAGCCCAACGAGGTTAAAGAGGCCGTCTGCACAGCGTTAAAAGCCGGATACCGCCACATTGACGCTGCTGCCGTCTACGGCAACGAGAAGGAGGTAGGAGAGGGGATTAGACTGTCTGGTGTTCCGCGCGAAGAGATCTTCGTATGTTGACCGTCACAATCAATCGTGGTTCCTTGACTTCGCTGACTGCGATTGCATAGATCACCAGCAAATTATGGAACACACATCACGAACCGGAGCACGTGGAGGAGGCGCTCGATCAATCACTCCGCGATCTGCAGGTTGACTATCTAGATCTCTATCTGATCCATTGGCCCGTTGCGTTCCGGTACTCGACGACAACGGTTCAGCCTGTGGATGCGGAAACCGGGCTGGTCGATGTCATTGACGTTCCGATCAAGGATACCTGGGCTGCGATGGAGAAGCTCGTGGAGAAGGGAAAAGTGCGGTCCATTGGAGTGAGCAATTTCACTCGGCAGAGGATTGAGGAGCTCATGACTACGTATGTTCCTCATCTGTGGTCTTTTGTCGAGAAGAGGGGGCTGAATTGAATTGCCTAGCGCTCGCATACACCCCACCGTTAACCAGATCGAGGCACATCCCTATCTCCAACAGAGGGATTTGCTAGAGTGGTCCAAGCAACAGGTATTGGCATCTTTGCCTGTGTATATTATACAACTACTGACGGAGTAGGGAATCGTGATAACCGCTTACTCGCCCCTAGGAAACAACATCTACAATATTCCTCGGTGAGTATGCTACGACCACACAGTGTCCATCGCTAACGATCCAGGGCTGTCGATGATCCCACCGTCATTCAGATTGCCAAAGAGCTAGGCAAAACACCCGCGCAGGTGTTGATCAGCTGGGCCATTCAGCGCGGGACATCCGTCGTCCCCAAGTCGGTGACGCCGGAGCGGATCAGAAGTAACCTCGAGGGTATGTCATCTATCCTGAACTGGGATCAATGGTGCTGACTAGATAGTGTTCGTCTTACCTGAACATGCATTCGAGAGAATCCAGGCGTTGGACCGCCACCAGCGGATGAATTTCCCGGCTAGACTGGGAGTCGATATCTTTGGGGAGGTGGGCGAGGAATCGGCCAGGCAGAGTGCGTTGGAGTGGGCGAGACAGCAGAAGATGCAGACAAAGTGATTATAAATAGAATAACTTATAGATATGTATATCCAGTGAAAGGAGTGCATTTCAGTTGCAGTTTCCACCAGTTCTTGCCATAATCTTACAGGAGATAGTAACTGGCTTTGTGATTGCTGGAGAGCGCATAGACCTTTAGCTTACTCGGATATATTGGTAGGATTGCTCCAATCGAATATCATAGCAATAAGGTAGTAATAATTTCTCCGAAAAGCTTCTGTTCCTCAGAGATGCACGGTTGCTGTATCACCTTTTCCGACGGAAATGGCTGCACACGAATCTCCAACCTCGGATAAGCAGTTGAGGGCTTTGGATCTCTTGATATCAACGTGTACATGCTTGACAACGCTTCGGATAACTCCTTGGCATCCCCGCATTTCATTGCTCCTCTCTTGGCTCCGGATATGCATGTTATAGGCCATGTGCCTGCTCTGGATACTCCGTGGGGATATGTATACCCCAGATCAGCGGGGAGCCAAGGCGCTGCTTGAAGGAGATATAAAAGCAGTCAGTAGATGCCGTGCCCACTTCTTTATAGCCTATTGCCAGATATTGCCAGTACTTACAAACTACCCACCATGAGCACCAAACACGAAGGGCAGGTCGAACACATCGACCACTGTGACGAGGTGTTGAAGCCGACTCCTCAGTATGACAAGTTTGGCTCCGCCGCCAAAACCGATCCTAGAGAGATTGCTCTCGTGAAAAAGATTGACCTGTACATGATGGTTGGTCAACGCATACAGTATACTGCCTGATCTTGCTGACAGAGGCAGCCCATTCTCTGGCTGATGTACTTTCTCAACTTCCTCGACCGAAACGCCATGGTCAATGGCAAGCTCAACAACCTGTCCAAAGACCTGCATTTGCACGGAACGCAGTACAATACCTGCGTCAGCATCCTCTTTGTCGGGTGGGCATATCTCTCTCAAGAAAGAGACGAATGTTGACGAGTCCAGTTACCTCCTAGGACAGGTCCCGTCCAACATGCTTCTCAACCGCGTGCGGCCGTCGTGGTACATGGCCGGGTTCATGATGGGGTGGGCTGTTATCTCTACACTCACCTGCCTTGTCAAAGACTACCACGGCATGCTCGTTTGCCGGCTCCTGCTTGGGATCGTCGAGGCCCCCTTCTACCCGGGGGCGCTCTTCATGATCAGTGTATTCTATAACCGCAAAGAAGCCACTACCCGCATGGCCGTCCTATACACTGGAAACATGCTGGCAAGCTCATTCTCCGGGCTCATCGCCGCGGGGGTCTTTGCCGGACTCGACGGTGCCCACGGCCTGGCCGGCTGGAGATGGCTGTTTCTCATCCAAGGCGTAGCCACGTTCGCTGTGGCCATTGCCGCGTTCTTCCTGCTTCCCAACTCGCCGCTGCAGACCCGATGGCTGAGCCCAGAGGAGCGCCAGATGGCATACGACCGGATCGCCCGCGACACCACGCAGAAAGAGGACCGCACGAGCACATGGAAGGGTCTCCGCGAAGCATGCACCGACTACCGCACCTGGATCTTCGCCCTGCAGTGCAACCTCCATCTGTCCGCCAACGGCTTCAAGAACTTTATGCCAACCGTCGTCAAAACCCTCGGGTTCAACTCCACCATCACCCTCGTCCTCACCTGCCCGCCGTACCTGGTTGCCACGTTCGCCTCTGTAATCGTCTCCTGGTCCTCGGGCCACTTCAACGAACGCACCTGGCACATCACCATCTCCAAGCTGCTAGCCATTATTGGGTTTGCCGTAGCCTGCAGCACCCTCAACATCGGAGCCCGCTACTTCGCCATGATCCTGTTCGTGGGGGCCACATACGGCGTCAACAATATCAACCTTGCCTGGACCGCGGCTACCCTGGGACAAACCGACGAGAAGAAGGCGGTGGCCATTGCCATCACCAACACACTCGGGAATCTGGCGAGCGTGTACACGCCGTACCTGTGGCCGGATTCGGATGCGCCGCGCTTCTCCAAGGCCATGTACTGCAGCATTGGGTTCTCGGCGGGAGTGATAGTGACTGCTTGGGTGCTGCGGTGGATTCTCATGCGGACGAACCGGCGCATCCGGGCTATGGACTCGGAAGCGATCAATTTTTATGCTTATTAGCGCGTGGAACATGGAGAAGGATGCAGCTGCTTTCATAATTATATAACCTGATAGTCAGAGTTTAGGAAGCCATCAAGCTCTTTATCTTGAGAGATCAGATTGTAGGCCAGATGCAAGAGTTCTCTGAAATCCTGAATACTAAGGCAGTAACTTGTACTTCAGTTAAAGTAACTTTAGTTATAAAGACGTCTTTATTCACAGTCGAGTATACCTCTCCTGTATCGTGTGACCCACGTTTGTTTATATCTAATCTCAACTCATCACCTCTCTTCTGCTTTCAAAATAATTACGATGCAAGGTCAATACAAAGCCTATAAGTTTTTCAACAGACATTTCAGCTCATCTATAAGCGCTTTCCGACACTCGCCGAGCTACATCGCACCTGAGTGTACCAAACAGGATGCGCCGCTCAGTAATCGCCCATCCCTAGATACCGATTGCGTCTCGATCTCCTGTATTAACCCTCTTTACTGAGCCAGAACATTCGTCTGCCCTCCTGTATCAGACTATCTAGATACCCTCATATGGCAGCTACACTATTTCTCGGCCAGGTTTTGAAAGGCCGAAGAGGGCTTTACACTGTCACAAAACAACTGCAGGACTGTGTCTGGCTTGCTACGTGCGCCCTACCTCCATATGCTGTTAAAGCAACGATCTCATAACAATTACAGAAACGAGAATCAGCAGAAAGTCGTGGCGAAGAGCGTCAGACACTTCCGATTACACAACGAACGAGACATTCTACTACGCTTTCAAAACCGAACTCCCTGTATTCGCCCACTGATCGATGAACTCGAAGATTCAGCTGTTCCTCCTACGCTCATACTCAGATACCTGGACGATGATGCTCTTCGTGCCTCGAACAAGCGACGGCTTACTCGTCCAGAGGTGAAGTATGTTGCAAAACAGGTGCTAGAAGCACTCTCGGTTCTGCACGATGAGGGATTTGTACACACTGGTATACTCCGCTTATCCCAGGTTTCTTCTATGCAACCTTATTGATGGGACGGTGGTAGATATCAAGCCGAGCAATGTGTTAGTGAAATATGGGCACAGCAATGTCCGTTTCACAGATGTCCAATTAGCAGATTTTGGAAGTGCAGTTCACATGGACTCTCTTCACGCACAACACCGTGACCCTATCGGCACACCTATCTTCAGAAGCCCGGAAGCACACCTTCAGATGCAATGGGGTACTGCAACAGACATTTGGTCTTTTGGTGCAATGGCAAGTTTAATCCTCAGTCGCAGAGCCTAGACCGGATATTAATGTCCGTCTACCATGCAGCTTATCAGCCTTCTCTACGGGGATGGATTCCACATCTTCAAGCCAGATGTTCCTGCAGACCATGATGGGTACGACCTCGGAATTCTCATGAAGCATCATAGATGCTTCGGGCCATTCCCAGAATCGTACGAAGAGATCGCGGATCAGCAACGACTGGCAGTCCTTGTTTGGGTCATGCAGAACAGCCCTCCCGAGACACTGCGGCCATTTCATCTGACCACTACCAAAGAGATTTGTCAGGAAGATAAGCATTTTGTGCTAAGAGCAATGAAGCTGGATCCTCGGGATAGGCCGTCAGCATGGCAGCTTTTGGAAGATGGGTGGCTTCAGTCTTAACGACTTGCAGTGCGAGGTCAACCCCAGTTCAGACATCTTAGCTGTAAGACCGTGCATTAATATGATGATTAGTATGGAAAAAAATCTCCGTTAGTGTAGCTGCTCAAATTATCCAGAACACCACACTCAGAGATGTGATTCTGTGCAACGATCCCAGCAGCACTGCTAATTTGGGCCCGGGTCGAGGGATAGAATGCCTCAGGCATTGACTATTGCTGGCCTGAACGGGTCAATTCTTCTGTTCGTCGTCAATTTGAGCAGCAAAAGGTACTCCGTACCCACAACTATCATCCTCAGTAATGCAATCCAAGGGATTCCATCAAAGCAGACAATGTTTTGACCTGGGACCAGTGTCTTGTGTCTTGTGGGTGATTTACCTCTCAAATTATTGACGGCCTCGAATCTGGAACACAGCGCCCAGATTTGTCTCATCGCTCGGGCCAGATACCATATCCGGCGTCCGTGATCAGCGCCCTTCCATCAATCTGAGGTGAAAAAGGGCACTCTGGAACAGGGAACGGCATCATAATCGCCACCAGTTATCACTATCACGCTGCACTACTGCATCTTTCTCACCTGAATTTCTTTTGCGCGGCCTAGACGGAAATTTTGCAGACGTCGCCAACTGGCGATCCCGCGCCGTCTTGGACTTGTCACACCAGTGCCGCGAAGACGAACATCGAGTAACCGATCAACGCCACGGACACGTTCCGAAGAGGCCCTGGCTCCTGGCGAGGCTGGCTCGACTGTGGCTGAACCTGGAGGAATGAAGTATATTGCCGTCCAGGGCTGTAGACGTCCTGCCGATCGGGAGAAAGTCGCTCAGAAGAGATATGATTGGGCGTTGGAAACCCCCTGTGGGCCTTGATTCCATGGATATCAAACGATCTTCGTCACATCTGTTAAATGGGAATATTGAATAGCAGGGATGAGGCAGCACATACCGGGCAAGGACTTGCAAGGCTATCACCTTGAATTTCTTGCGTGGATTACTGGGGCTTCATCATTTTCGGAACCCAGCAGACGATTGTGCCGATTGGGTTTATCAATGGTCCGCGAGAGGATTCGTCATGGTGTACGGAGTATAGATGGATTGTTCTCAATTTTGAGGCCAAGGATGATCTTGAGCCTCGAGTCTTGACTCTCTCGCACCTCAACTGACCAGGGTCTCAGCCATATCCGCCATCTGCAACAGCCCACGTTTCACAATACGTATCATCGAACCGCCCATTCAGGGCTAACGGTACCTATCTGCCGAGTGATGATGCCGTATGGAGATGACACATAGGCCAGCACATTGCCGTCCTGTCCAGCTTTGTCGCGGACCTTCTTCCTGTTGTTTCCATCAATGGTGACTCCACTGGAGACCACCATGGTCAGACCGTCAATTTCCCACTAAACGGGCATGGACCCTACATCCGAAGCCCTGAGTCCCTGGCCAGCCTGTTTCTTGTTCTGACTCGAAGACGGAAGGATTGACATTCTCATCCGTTGTGTTGATCAATTCCTTTATTGATTTGTGCTGGAAGTTCCCATCTATAAAAACAGGCATTGTCTCTCTTGATTTCTTCAACTCCAAGCTCGCTTCGTCTAACGCAGGCTTGACGTTCATTTGAAGACACTCTCTACTCTCATTCTTTAGCATCAAAGACCACCACTTTCATACATCGAAATGAAGCTCTCCATCGCAGCGACTTTGGGCTTTTTGGGCTGTGCCCTCGCGTTGCCCGCACCTGTTGCCAAGGAAGCCGACCTGCCCTTCCCAGCTGGCGGCTCTGGTGGCTCTGGTAGCCTCCCATTTCCTGTTCCTTCGGGCGCCCCTACCGGCTTTCCGTTCCCTATTCCTTCAGGCTTGCCTAGCGGCTTTCCAACTGGTTTTCCATTCCCTATGCCGTCCGGCATGCCAACTGGATTCCCATTCCCTATTCCATCCGGCGTGCCCGGTGGATCCGGTTCCAACGGTTTCCCCGGCTTCCCGGGACTGGGTGGTAGTGGAGGCTACGAAAAGCGCGAGGAAGCTCATCACCGTCACCACAAGCCATCCGGTGGCTGGCCATGGCCGTGGCCCAAGCCGACTGGCCATCATTCCTTCCCTCCTGGGTCTAATGGAGGCAGCCCTACTGGCGGCTATCCGGGCTTCCCAAGCATCACACCTACTCCGAGCGTGACGCCTACTCCCAGCGCAACTCCTTCCGGCTTCCCTTTCAGGGGCTGAGTGAGCTTCAGCAACTCCGGTCGACCGTGGAAAGATGAGGCAATTGACGATAATGGGCAGGGGCAAGGAAAACTGTGACGCTTTCGGTACGCTGCTGGACTGGGTACCTGAGGAATTATGTATATTCTGTCTTTTTCTGTTCTAGAATGGTCTTGTTTTTGTGTATCTAGAAAGCAATGAGTTTGCAATCCCCTTACAATCTTTCAACTGAGAAGGCATTTAGGCGGTCAGCTGCAGGTTGACCGTCATTTCTACAGCACATCCAGCGTCGCATTATCTACTTAACAACATGAATTAATTCTCTGGTGAATATGCCAGAAGCATTCTGTCTGCTCTGCTAACCTCCGTCCTACTTATCTTTTATCCTCCAGCTTTCCAGTATGCTGCTCTGTGCTCCTGCGATCCGTGGATAGGATAGGTGTCAATGGCTGTCCTGATGTACTATTCAAAGTCATGATTAAACTTCTCATAGGGATATTCACAAGGTAATTGTCAAACCTCCAGCCAAATCAAGGGAGCTAGCTATATGATGCCCTATCCTGCAGGACTCTGCTTGCCCGCTGCCACCAATTGACGGTTATAGGCTATGGCCCCGGCAACAATGCCACTATACGGTACTGACAACCATCGCAATATGACCAGTTTGATGACACAAATCGCACAGAAAGTAGACTTGAGTGGAATCCCGGCTAAATACACCTTCTGCATCCCCCTGCTGCAAATTATCCCCCAATCATCATGATCAGTGGTACCCCTCACTTTTACTCCAACTAGTACGTCGATCACTATCTACAGTATTTATAAGTCCTCCTCCTCTATTCTGATCAGAAAATGCATAACTAACCATGTACCTCGCCCTAGCTTCAGCTCTCCTTCCCCTCGCGACAGCCAGATCCCTCTGGTCTGATTCCCCCGGTAGCTATGCGGATCTTATCACTACTGCGTTTCCGTTAGGGAATGGTCGGTTGGGAGGTATGCTATACCTATAGTCATCTTCACCTCAATCGAAGCTTAATTCTAACGAACGTAGCAATGCCCCTCGGCCTCACCGGGAAGGAAATCATCAATTTGAATATTGATTCCTTGTGGCGGGGTGGTCCGTTCGAAAGTCCAGTAGATATCCCTTACGGAGTACTACAAACAAATCAATGCTAACACTGGAAAGGATTACTCTGGAGGTAATCCCAACGTCTCCAAGGCAGATGCCCTCCCCGGCATCAGACAGTGGATCTTCCAGAACGGCACGGGGAATGTCTCTGCGCTGCTGGGGGAGTTTCCGCATTACGGGTCATACCAGGTTCTGGCGAATCTGACGGTTGATTTGGGGGATTTTGGCAGTGCGGCTGATTACAGGCGGCGTTTGGATTTGCAGACTGGGGTGTATGCGGATCAGTTCTGTGTGGGGGGTAGGTGTGTTGAGAGGTAGGTTGACGGGATGAAAGAAGTGAAGAGTCGTGTTGATGTTGATGTTGATGTTGATGTTGATGTTGATGTTGATGTTGATGTTGATGACAGGGAGGCATTCTGCTCGTATCCTGACAGCGTATGCGTTTATCGTCTTGCATCGAATACGAGTCTCCCGGCTGTTGCGGTCCATCTGGAGAATCTGCTGGCGGCACCGAAGCCGAATGTCACCTGCTCGGGGAATAGTATCAGTCTGTATGGGCGGACGTTCCCGGCGATCGGGATGCGGTATAATGCTAGGGCGACGGTAGTAGTTCCTGGTTTGAAAGGTGATTTGTGTGCGCAATCTGCAGTCCGTGTGCCAGGGGGTCAGAAGGAGATTGTCATTGTGGTTGCAGCTGGAACGGATTACGATGCATCCAAGGGAAATGCGGCAGCCGGGTTCTCTTTCAGAGGGAACGACCCCTCTGATGATGTGCTAAAGACAGCGTCCAAGGCAGCGGGGAAACCGTATTCACGGCTAAAGTCGGCGCATGTCAAGGACTTTCAGAGCATCTTTGATGGCTTCACCCTCACCCTCCCAGACCCGCACAACTCCGCCAGCAAGCCGACCACTGCTCTCATCAACGCCTACACCCAGCCGGGCGACCCGTACGTTGAAAACCTGCTCTTCGACTATGGTCGGTATCTGTTCCTCTCGTCCTCGCGACCAGGGAGCCTTCCGCCGAACCTGCAAGGGCTCTGGACGGAACAGTACTCCCCGGCGTGGAGCGCGGATTACCATGCCAACATCAACCTGCAAATGAACCACTGGGGCGTCGAGCAGACCGGGCTAGGCGGGCAGACGGAGCCGCTCTGGTCTTATATCCTTGAGACCTGGCTGCCGCGCGGTGCAGAGACAGCGCGGTTGTTGTATAACGCCGACGGGTGGGTGACGCACAACGAGATGAATATTTTCGGGCATACCGCGTAGGTCCTGCGTCCCCTGGTCATTGGACTCACTAACAATGCACGCAGGATGAAAGACTCGGCGCAATGGGCCAACTATCCGGCCGTCAACGCGTGGATGTCCCAGCACGTCTGGGATCATTTCGACTATACCCGGGACATCAAATGGTACCGAACAGTCGGCTATCCGATTCTCAAGGGGGCAGCCCAGTTCTGGCTCTCGCAGCTCGTCCAGGACCAGCACTTTAACGACGGAACCTGGGTCGTCAATCCTTGCAACTCGCCCGAACACGGTCCAACGGTAAGTCCTCTTCCCCTTTTATCAATCATCCCCCGAAAGCAAAGCTAAGCTAAGTCGACAGACCTTCGGCTGCACCCACTACCAACAACTCGTCTGGGAACTCTTCGACCACGTCCTCCGCGGCTGGACAGCCTCAGGCGACACCGACGCCTCCTTCCGCTCCGCCATCGCCTCCAAACTCGCGTCTCTCGACCCCGGCATCCACATCGGGTCCTGGGGCCAGATCCAAGAGTGGAAACTCGACCTCGACACGCCAAACGACACCCACCGCCACCTGTCCAACCTCTACGGCTGGTACCCGGGCTACTCCATCTCCTCGGTGCACGCGCACAACACAACCATCACCGACGCGGTGGCTACAACGCTCACCTCCCGCGGCTCCGGCGTCGAAGACTCGAATACCGGCTGGGGAAAGCTGTGGCGCAGCGCCTGCTGGGCGGTCCTCAACGAGACTGCCAACGCATACGGCGAGCTCACCCTCGCGATTCAGAATAATTTCGCCGCGAATGGGTTCGACATGTACTCCGGTAACCCGCCGTTTCAGATCGATGCCAATTTCGGGGTCTTGGGGGCGGTGATGGCGATGCTTGTCAGGGATTTGGATGGAGCGGGAGACGTGCAGGCTGTCCTGCTGGGGCCGGCGATTCCGGCGAGGTGGGGTGGGGGGAGTGTAACTGGGCTAAGGTTGAGAGGGGGCGGGAAGGTCGATTTTCGATGGGATGACGATGGGGTTGTGAGGTCTTGCCGGGCTGATCTGTCTGGGAGGAGAGGCCAGAATACTTTGGTAAAGTTCTATGTTAGGGGGGGTGCTGCCATTCGTTGTTGACGGCCGCCAACTCAATGCAATTCTTGATGAAGGAAGTCCGTACGACTACTATGATGCAAATCCACCAGCTTGAGTAACACGATTCCAGTTTAGATCCTTGATTGAATCCAGCAGAAGCTGATAGACAGATGACGAGGCGAGGCGGTTCGACTTAACGCGGAGTGCCACGATTCTAGTCTGATTCCTTTCTCACAGAAGAATCCTTCAATCCTCAATTAACCCAACCGCCAATCATGCACCCCTTTATGCCTCCGGGGTATTGTCCCCATGATCTGCAGTCCACCGGATAAAATGGCTAAAATGCTAAGCCCATCCCCTCATCTTGTCCCGGATATACTCCGATTACCCCTCTCAAGACAACAAACAACCACGTAGCCGAACGCTTCTACGCTTTAACAACCACATATATAATCTATAACCACGTATACAAGCATGGACTCCGTCAAAAACAAAGTCTACGCGGTAACCGGCGTTGCGGGCATCGGCCTAGCCGTCGCGGAGCAACTGCACGCCCGCGGGGCGCGCCTCTCCCTCGCAGACATCGACGCCAACGCGCTGGCCAGCGCATTCGCGAAACTCGGCTCCGACAGTGAGACGGTCCTTACGACGGTCGTGGACGTGGGGTCCTCCGCTTCCGTGGATGCGTGGATCGATGCCACGGTGCAGAAGTTCGGGCGGCTGGACGGCGCGGCGAACATGGCGGGGACGATTGGGCGGAAGCACGGCGTTGGGAAGCTTGTGGAGCAGGATGATGAGGAGTGGGATTTTCTGCTCAGGGTGAATCTCACGGGGATGATGTACTGTCTGCGGGCGGAGGTGAGGAGCATTGCGGCGACCGCGGGCGAGGGCAGTATCGTCAATGCGGCCAGTATCCAGGGGCTGCGAGGGTTTGCGCTGCATGCGGCATATTCTACGACCAAGCATGGGATTGTGGGGTTGACGAAGAGTGTGGCTAAGGAGGTTGGCCCGGCTATCAGGGTCAATGCGGTTGCTCCGTAAGTTGACTGTTTGATTGTCTTCTGGGATGTCGCTGATTGTCTGCAGTGGGACTATCCAGACGCCCTTGCTTGACAAGGCTCGTGATATTCAGGGCACGCTGAATGCTATGCCCACGATTATCCCGCGCATTGGGACGGCCGATGAAGTCGCGCAGTCCGTGCTGTTTCTGCTGAGTGATGCCTCGTCGTATACGACTGGCTTGGTTCTGAATGTCGACGGTGGCTGGGATCCTTGAACTGATGATGTGATCTATAAGATGTAAGGCGTGAGGTGTGAGCAATGTATGCCATCATTCATTTAAGTATTGACAAGGGTATCTATAAGGTTTGAGCATTGTACAGTCGGACCATTTGTCTATATGCAGGTAAGATGCGATATGCCAATCCTGGGCAATCGTCACATCAGAACATACGCCACTGTATCTGTTAGCTCCGAGTCTGCGTAATTGACTGAACGCGTACCTATCAAAGCGGATATACTGAGAATATACTTTGGACGATTGGCCATTCCGCTGTTCTCTACGGCTCTGCAAGGGTAAGTTTGGTGTCTTCTCCTGAAGGGTAATGCACGTACTTTGCTGCTGGCCATCCGTCCTCGTACTCGAGGTAACTCCAGCCCAAGTGTGCGTCCTTCAGCATGTCAGTACTTTCATTACCTAGTCCTGATCTCAACTCACATCATCTCTGAAGCCCATCGATGTATTCACTGTCAAGTCAGCGCAGACACACAAAGTTGAAGGAATTGACTCACAGTAGTGATAATACAGAATGTCAGGGTGCTTCTCGGTCGCAGGCAATACACCAATTCCCCCAGGCGCATAAACAACACCATGGTTCGAGGCGTACACAACAGTCCCACCGCCATCGGTGAGGTTCTTGCCGTCTTTATCCTGAAAAGGTCCATTCACACTAGTCGACCTCCCCACCCGAATCTCATACCTATCCAAATCAGCCAGCCTGACACAAAACCGCGGAGAGAAACACCCACTCTTGTCCCATCGCCGGGAAATCCTTGGCATTCTGAGCGCCCCCAAACCGGCAGCACTTCCCATGACTAGCCCAGAGATAATAATACGGCTCCCGAAAACTCATCCACGACCCCTCGATCGGCTTGAAATCCTCCGTGGGCACATAGGCGAGATTGATCGCGCGTGGGTGCTCCGCATCTTCAACCGAGAGCAGATCCCCAGCTAGGGGGACCTGGAAAATCCCGTGCCAGTAACTGCCGTAGTTCAAATACGGCTTCCCCGTCGCATTGTCGACGATAAACGACGCATCGATTGCGTTTGACTCGTTGTAGGGGTAGATGTGCGACAGTTTCCCGGACCCCGTGTTGATCATCGCTCCGTGGTCCGTCCATTTCCCGCTGTCGAGGGAATCAGTCGTCGCGACTCCGATGGAGCTGTTGCGGCTGCCGTGGGTGCTGATTGTGTAGTAGCAGTAAAATGAGCCGTTGTGCTGGACCGTCGTCGGCGCCCAGGGTCGCGTGCGGTTCTGTTTCTCGATGATGCTGGGCCCATCAAGGACTGTTCCGACCCTTGTCCAGGGCCCGTCGAGACTCGAGGCCTTGCTGACAAGGATGTGGACGCCTCCTATGAAGAGGTAGAAATTGTCGTTGTATTCGACGATGTTGGGGTCGTGGGCGACGACATCGCCCTGGTTGGGGAGTGGGTACTTATCCGTATTGGAGAAGAGGGATGCTTTTTCTTTGGTTGATAAGGACGGCGATCCGACTACAACTTGGTGAAAGAGTAGGGAGGCCTGTAGCAGAAGCCGTATTCGAAACATTGCGTCGTCACTTTCTCTCTTTTGTCGTGACAAGGATGTGACGAATTAATGGGAAATTGACCATGAACGGTCTCTTGAAATTGTAAGCAGTCAAGGAACAATGCTCATCTTGATCGAGTCAACGGAGATGATACGATGTCACTGACGCCAAGACGGTGATGAGATGGAAGCGTCAACGATCTGGGTGCAACAAGGCATGAAATGGATGCTTGGAGAGGTTGGGATGATAGTATCTCTAGCTGAGCCTAGAAGAATAATAATACTCCGGACATCATTGTTAAGGCAGCAGTGTCCCGCACTGTCGAGGGTAAACAGTTTAGTGCACGTTTCAGATTAAAGAAAAATAAAGCTTGTTAGATACAGTATTACTGGGAGGTACCTGACTGTGTCCAACTGGATTACAGAATCACCCCCCGTGGATCGTGCCATTTCCCCCTGTTGAGCTAGGAGCAGATTCTCCACCGGCACCTTCAGGGGCGAGAGCCAATGTCACTGTGAGAATGGTCCCTGAAAAATGCCTAGGTAAACTCTATGATGTACTCCGCACGGAGCATCCGATTGGAAGGGTACCTTGCGGACATGGCACCTAAGCATTCAGATACAAAGTCATACTCAACAATGTTCTCCTATGTTATGCGACTTTGAGTACCTGAGAATAGCGAGGAATGCGTTTATTCAGGCACTGAAAGTCAATACTGCTGACATTAGTTAGTTACCTAAATTCCTTTGCATGTGGAGCACTTGCAGATCAGTGGATGTTCCAGCCTCCACACTCCGGCCTCCAGCAAATTGGTTAACTCGTTCTAAGCTCAATTCGGTATCTTCCCCTGCCTTTATCATGTTTCTCAAGCTATGAGCACATCACTTCTTTCATTGAAGACCATGTTATATCATGCTACATTATGTACAGGGAAGAGGCCATCCCGATCGGGGTCAACCCGCGTGAGATCAGACCTTCGTAGGCCAAGGGTGGATAACATCCCGAAACCCACTATGACGGAGAACAGGATTACAACATCCCGGGGCCAACAAACACTAGTGTATCGTACGGAGGACCGGTTATACATAGAAGAAATAAACAATAAATCATCAGGGATCGTTATCGGTTCCAGCCCATATCATTTTGACGTCATTCTCCAAGAGTGATTCCCGTCAAGTCCGCCCAGTTGAAGACGTCCAGGAATGGGTCTATGTCTCCATAAGGCTAGATTCCACACCATCAGAGATGCGAGTGAATTGAAATGGGTCCAGGTACTCACCGCGATACAGAAGTCTGGCGATTGCAGGGCGCCATTCAGGTCTGCGGCAAGAGGAGGCGCCAAACCAGGGCCAGAAGTCATGCTAGGGACCTGGAAGAGAAGGGTGTGTCAGCGGAGTGGACGATAGGAAGTGGAAGGCGGCCAGCATTCACCTGATCTGTTCCGAAGCAGCCCTGCCCTCGATCGCCCAAGTGAGCGCAATTCGCATGCCGCGAGAAGAGGGTCTGCGCAAAATAGATCACCCGGTCGACTACCTCTTGCTTGTAAATGTTTGCCTGCACCGGCCACAATTTCGCCTTCACCAATGCCAGGAGAGTCGACATGAAGAAGTACTCCTTTGCGCCCTTGACTACAAGCAGGAGCCGCGTCTCAACAGAGGCCAAGACCATCTCGAGCAACGAGACGAGCGATTCGGCAAGCCCGGGTAGCGTGTGGGTGAGGAATGTAGGAGAAGATGCTACAAGTGAATGTTAAGAAATGGCATCTGAGCCAACCCTGAGATCGCAAACGGCCGGGTCACTCACCATGGGTGCTATTCCCCGCGTGCAATATCTGACATACTGTACAGAATGCCTGCATGGTCCACTCCCCAAAGTTGCAGAGAGACAATTGCTTCGAGGTTTCATGAAGGCGCTTCTGGTTGGAAAGGATGAGGGTGGCAACCTCTAGGCGGGAACGCGCAGAGGGTGCAAAGAGTGGCTCCCGTGGGGCTTCGATTGCGAAAGGGGTATGAAGGGACAAAAGACTATGAGCGATTTTCGTCTCCAGGAGGGATTTGAGTAGAGTGACTTTGTTCTTGCTCTGATAGTCGTCATTCTCGGCAATGGGCCAGGCAGGGATTTTCTGAAGATATCTCCCGAGCTCCCAGTCCAACCGTTGAATCTCCTCGTAGCGGCAGCTGATCCGCGGAGAATGCATCAGAGCGCACGCTTTGAGGCGCAATGGGAGTGACTGCGTGAGAGCTGCCTGGAATGACGAATCGGTTATTTCGTGGAGCGGCCTCTCTCCAGGAAGCTCGGTACTGGTCTCCTGGATTTCACTGTCATTGATGTTCGAGGCCGGAGCTGTATCATAGTCCGATTCTTGAACCGAGGGGGGCATCCCCCGTTCAAGGGCAACCTGAAGGTCGAGTTCTACAATGGTCGTCCAGATCCGTCTGCGCATCTCCTTGTTGAAGACGGAGATCTTTGTGTACCGGCTAGGATCGCGATGATATCCAGCAATCATGGCCTGCTTGACCAGTGTTCCCGTAGCAAGCCAGGCATGGCTGCGTTTCATCCCAAAGCTATTTTGGGCGATGATCAGGAGAATTTGCATTCGGAGAGCTGTGATCTCTGGCCGTTTGATGTGTGCGTTATCCAGCCACTTTTCGACGTGTAGAACCCACTCCACCGGAGTATAGCATTTCAGGCTAGCTTCGTTCTTCAGCTGGAGCGTATCAAAGTCGGCTAGATTCCAAGCACAGGCGAGAACCAGGAGGAGTTGCACGACAAAGCCGGTTGACACTAAATCTGGATTGTCCTTTTGCGCCCAGAACTCGTCCAGCTCCTTGAGAAAGGACGGAACGTGAAGAATACGATGCGTGGACTCGATACAAGTCAGATACAAAACCACTAGTTCATCAACTGTTCGACGGGAGGGCAGCATGTCAATGAGCGACTTTGTGTCCGGCAGTGGGAACGACTCATTCAACGGCTTTCGTTTCCACAGCCCCTTCTTTACCCTTTCCAGGTCGAAGCGCAGTTGCGTAAGGTTCGGACTCGAAAGTCGGACCTCCTCCGCAAACGATCTGATATCTGGGAACTGCCACAGCATTAACCAGCACGAAACTCAAACAACAGATGGCTGTAACTTACCTGCGCAATCAAGTTGGCCAGTATGCCCGACCCATTGAACCGCGTCTTGGTCTCCTTACCTCGCATCATCATACGCGGCAGGATATCAAGCTGCTGGGAAGGCGATGCAAGCTCGTCGTCATCTTCCAAAGGCTGTGACTGTGCCTCGTGCCGACTCTCAGGAAGATGCCGGGGCCGCTGAAGCACTTCGGTGTTCACATATGGTTCCTGATTGACACCCGCCTTGGGGGCTCCGAGAACAGTCTCGAGAAAGCTTCGTTTCTCTTCGCCATGACGGCCATGCGGTGTAGATGGCAACGGTGGTGGTTGGGGCCGAGGCGGCAGACTGCTTAACCCCGAGTCCGGGGTAGTGAGGGCGGGCGCCCGATCAACTCGGGGCATCTGAGCCAGTGCTGTGGAACCTCGGTCGGAGAAGACGGGCGATGCAACTGTATTGGGTTGCTGCCACAGAAAGCCATCCTCATAGGTGCATTTGGTAGGTGTTTTGCTCTTCAGACATCGGCCGCATGTGGGATATTCGCGATCGCACCGGAGCTTTCTGCTGCGACATTGTGTGCAGGCCATAGTGCGTCTGCGCCTCTTGCGCACGCGTTGCTCTGACGGCTGGGGCTGCTCCGGGTCTGGAAGCCCCATTTTCTGCTGAATTTCGGTCATGATCGATAATACATCATTGCCATGATTATGTTGACACTGACGACTTCCAACGATGCTTCATTCTCCTTTCTCAGCCTTTATTCTTTCTTGAAACTTACCAGTAAGCGGGCGCAGGCTCGGGGCTTTTCATAGGAACAAGCGGAAACAGTTCAGCCAGCTTACGTGTGTGGCCCACCGGGCTTCTTAACCCGATCGGGCAATCCCCTCCGTGAAGGTCTCACTTGTTTGTCGTATTGGGAGGGAAGTAAGGCCTAAGGGTCTCAGGGTCCTACACGATCCACTCTGCTTCAACTCTCATCACTGGTAGGTAGTCTAGTCTTGTCTCTCTACCTTATATAGGGGGGTTCATCTCTTCTAAACATCGACAAATCGATAACGCCAGAAACCAACCTTAATAAACCACGGAGTGCTACTGTCATCGCGTTGTCCTTTACAGCAATCTTACCATACATGGACCTACCTGACTTCAGCCCGTGTATGACTCCGTCTCACCATACCGCTCGACCCAGTAATCTTGTTGCCTAAGCATCATACCCAAAGAACGATGATCTTTTTAAGCTTAGACTCAGCAAGGCGTAGTCTGCCGAACTTTGACAAAATGGCTACGAGCAAGTCAGATTGCAAGCCTGACGGCAAGCCTTTACCGCCAGCCCTAGTCCCCCGGACCCGCCGAAGCTGAAGGATGGCCTCAGCACTATCAGTTAATGGGTTGATGTAAAAGACCACACCGGTTATGTCCTCGTGTGTTATGCCGGTTTTCATTTACATTAGTAAGGCTAAAATTTCTTAATCGTCATACCATAATCCAATCACCAACTCGTCAATCCCCGAAGCCGATCAAAACCGCCTCTAAGCTGACTCTCTGGATGTACCACTTTGCCCTGCAAAAGGGTGTACTTCACAATGCCCTCGCAATGTTCCGGCCTGACCCGCGCCAACCATATCATCTGCTGCTCCTTCTTGCGATAGATCATGACATTAGCCGCGAATTTATGACCACCGACATGTGAGACGAAGAATATCCCAACACCCCCGGGGCGCTCATCATGTGCATCGCGATATAGTTCAAGAGGACGCAGATGTCTTTCAAGCTCTTTCTTGATCAACGGCGCTGTGATCCCGCAACGGGCATCTCGCCTTTTATGCGAGCACAAGAGCACAACATAATCATACTCGCACTGTCGTGACCTAAGTGCAGAATTCGACTGCGAGTTTCCAGCGTCCTGCGGCGTGTCGATGTAGCGTTCAACCAGCTCTCGCACATCCCCGGGCTTTACGGCGTCCACAAACGTGAATGAAGGTAGAATCAGCACGGTATTTCCCTCGTTATCCTTCTCGGTCTCATGGTTCTCCGGCGAGCGGAGATTTGACGCAGATATCATGATTCGCTGGCTCTGTCAGAGAGACGATACCCATACGTAAACCCCTGGAGAGATACGTACACCATGTCGTGGCTTGACAGAGTCTAATGCTTCCATCAAACTGCCTTTTTCTTGCGTCACTTTTTCTACCCAGTCTGACTTTCCCGTAGCCACCAGTACATGTGTATCGACTCGTTTGATGTGTCCGTAGAGCGGTGTCAAGCTCTCGATTTTCACCTTGGACGGGAATTCAACCGTGCAATCGGCGCAATCTTGCTTGCAGTCCGGTCCATCCTTTTTTGGATCAACGGTTGGAAAGATGTAATCTGTGTTGCGCTGACCAAATGATAAAAGTGATCGTAACATGGTGGTCGGGATTTGCGATCGCGACAGGGGTACTCCGTAGATGTTTATGATCAAAACAGTGAGGGGCTTATCTAATGGACAATAAATGAATTTGAAGACACAGGCGACGATAGTCAAGGATTGTCTGATTACCACTCCTACTATAAATACTTGTAGATGCGTCAAATCCGAGCTGCATAAGACCGAAAATCCCGAGCTGTTGTTATCCCCGAATGCTGCTGCCGCAAAAGACCAGCTTCGGGCCAGAATATGTTCTCGGAGTGGAGATGCCCAATCCCCTGTCTTACTACTAGTCGTGGTGCATTTTGACACCATAAAGACTCATGTCGCATGTAGTCCCTTGTCCCTGCGAAATGCAAGGCGATTCGAGTAGGCTTACTGCGCTGTGACCTGACCACCTGACAATACAGCTATCTGCTTCATTGTCTGCTGTTTCGCTCCTCAGTATGCAGCAGGTACACAGCCACAAAGGCACAGTCAATTAAAGCAAGCCACTTCTAAATCCTGATTTACCTCAATTGAATCAACAAGAACGCACGAGGATAACCCTCAAAGACTGCCCTATGCCCTACATTTTGCCCGTTCAGAGCTGTCATGTGATTGTTCATTGGGAGTAACGCGCTACGTCACCCGCGCTGTCAAGCCCGCGTTAATTGATTCGCGACCGCGTCAAGGGGCCGAGCGGTCGATTTGCCCGCTCAGAAGGAATATGACTGAACCACTGATACCCGTTCTAGTAATCTGTCGCTGCGATAGGATCTAAAGTCAATTGACGCTCGACATGAAAGATGGCAAGCGCCGCCATCTCGGAGATCCTGACTCAATCCGCAAATCTGCGCGCGGAACTGAAAGAGTGGGAGAGAGCCTTTGCAGCGCAAAATGGTGGGAGGAAAGCAGAGAGGAATGATATCAAGAAGGTTCCTGAGATCGGTATGCTGTCTCACCTTCAATTCACTAGAATCATACTCTTGCGCGGAGGACACTAACACGGCACTATATACAGCTGCCAAATACAAAGAGTACTCTCGACTGAAAGCACTCGAATCGTCGTCGGACAACCCAGACGGTCCCAAGTCCGTCCAGTTAGAGGAACGACCCAGGAAACGCAAACACACATCCAAGGATGGCCCAGATACAGCTCAGAATACTTCTACGCCACGAAAAACCGCCAAAGGCGCTTTTGAGACGCCGTCCAAGAATCGAATCTCAAATTCGCATCCTTCCCAGGTCGATCCTTATATCTCACCCACGGCATTGCGCAGACTCTTCAGTCCATCCACACACCGTACACCGCTAAAAAATGCCGTCGGTCCTACCCCTCAACGCGACGGAAAGGCTCTAGGGCTTTTCGACCTCTTATCGGAATCCGGCGGAAGCACAGCAACGCCCTCAGCAGATCGCGTGGCAAGCGTACGTACCGCAAATGTGCAGACCCCGTCGAAACGAAAGACCATGGACACAATCATGGAAGAAGACGAAGAGGGAGAAGAGGAGAGCCCGCGAGCCGGACGCACCCCGGCATCGTCCGGGAAGAAGTGGATGCTGTCAGCGCTATTTGCGACCCCGACCACGCTCCGCTATTCCGCAATGGTTGAGGACCACAACCATATTACTGAACGGAATCAGAACTGCCAGACTAATCCCGAGGGCACCGCCAACGATATCACTGGGTCCGAAACCCCGTCTTTCCTGCGACGCTCAAACTCAGCGCGATACGCCGCCTCTCACTCTGCCAACCCCAACGGCCTGAGCCCGATCGCCGTGCGCAAACCGCCGCAATTTGTCGGAAAGGGCCTCTCGGCGCTAGTGCAAGGACTACGCGACATGGAAGAGGAACGTCTGGAAGATGAATTGGACGTCCTCCGCGAGATTGAGGCGGAGCAGGCAGCACTGAACGTCGAGGTCGCCGATAGCCAGGCGCCCGCTGAAAACATCGGCCGGCCCTGGAGGAAGAAGGGGCAGAAACGTACAACGCGCAGGGTGCGCATGAAACCTGTCATCTCGAAGCCAACCTCGAAGCCGCAGGGTTCGACATCGGATGGTGAAAGCGAACACCAGGCAGCGGATGAGGATGCCGCAGAGCTTGCAGCAGTCCCTGACACACAACAGCCGAGGACGCTCGACGCAGCGTTTGGTGAAGATCAAGATGACAACTTTGACGAAGAAGATGATCAAGTCTCGCTTCACACCATGTCGGAGCCAGACTTCGACTCCGATCCTGACTATGGAGAAGATACCAGACCCGTCACGAAGAGCAAGAGCTTTTCGGAGAAGATGAAAGAAGCTATCGGAGTGGTCCAGCCACAGCCAGCAGAACGTCCGGCGAAAGCCACCCAGCCGGTGGTGGAAGAAGAGGAGACCAAGAAGGTTCGCGCGCGCAAGGTGAACCCGGAGGCGCATGCAAACTACCGCTCTTTGAAGATTCGAAACAAGAACAGTAAAGGCCGGGGCGCTGGACGCTTTCGTAGGAGATAGGCGGACAGGGAGTTGACCACGCAAGGTCTGCACCTACAGTTCTCACGAGGAATGACTACCACACATACAGCATTGAAGATACCATTTGGCCATATATGCATTAGTCTATATTCTACAGCGTTATCCTATCTGGCAAGGATTTTATCCTGTAACATAAGTGACCTTAGGAGCGCTTCCGCGCGTTAATCAGGAATATACCTGTCCCGTGCGTATTGTAGCCGTCTCGCTTGCGCCAAGGCATCTCTCGACCTGCCTTGTGGTTGGTACCCCCGGGGCCGATGAGGTTTTGATACTCTCCCGCGGAATGAACGTTGTGCGCCTCGGTAGACCGGAGTCGCTGTCCGGTCAGTGACCTCGGATTCTCCCCCAGCTGGGCGAGCCAAGGGGCCACCAGGAGTACTATCCTCGTACTGAACATGGCGGTCCCAATCCTCCAGAGAAGTGTAAGGGCTCCGAAGCCAGGCCTGCAACTCATGCAAGAACAAGCGCGCATTGTCTCTTCCTAAAAAATCGCGCAAGAGCTCTTCCGCCTGCCCCGCACTGCCCTTGATATCAACAGTGCGAAGAATCGCAATCACGTACTCGAGTAAGAACTCGGCATTATTCCCTCGTCGGCTCTCAAGCCGCTGTTGACCAGGCCGAGCCACCCGACTAGGGCCTGGCTCTGCCTCCCCTTCCGGATTCAAGAAAGTAAACACCCTAAGCTCGCGCCGGATCCATTTCCGTGCCCGAGAGACCAGCTCTTCGTCACGGTTGAACGATTCTGGCGATAGTTCGCGGTACTGAGAGAGCCGGTTTGTGCCGACTCTTAGAGAGTAAAGCTGATGACGGTAGACATATTGCCGCCGTATTACGGGATCGTCCGGCTCCCCAGGTCGTGGGCTTTCTGCAGGGCGTCGTCGGTGGCGAGGACCACGGGGTAACCGCCCTGGGTGATGAGGAGGTATAGAGAGGGGCGCAGTGGCAGCGGATGGAGGAGCCGGTGGTAGTTTGTAAAGCTTCGGTCCTTGAGGGTTCTCAAGCTCGTACTTGACAGTGTGAACATCACTCTTGCCTAGGAAGGTCAGTCTGAAGTGAACCGAAAGCGAGGTTTTAAACGCAGACATAGAGAGGCATACATAGCGGACAGTTGCGGCGCTGCTCCAGCCAGCTCACGATACATAAAAAGTCGAAATTCGCATGTGCGCAAGGCACCGTGACAGCTGGTTCTGTGATTGCTTCCAGGCAGATGACGCATGGGTTAGCCACATCGTCACCATGGTCCTCTTGCGCTACTTCTTGGAGCGTTTTCTGCAGGATCTCCTGTCGCACATCGACATCTCCAGACATCAGACATCCGACTGATATTCAAGTAAAGGGGGTCGATCTGTCCAGTTTCGGCGAAATGAATGTCATCGGCGAGGAAAGAGCGCCGCTCGGTTGATACTACTACTGCGGCGGGCATAGGTCACGTTGTGGCGGGAAAAACCAAACCTTGCGGAGAGTTGACTTCGTCGATATCCACCAACGCAACTCGCAACGCTGGAACCCATGGTGGAAAAATGATGAGGTCGGCCAAATCTGCCATTGCTGATAATTACTTTGCTCCTCTTAGCTCTGCCGCAAGTATGGCAAGAGGGAAGGCCAATGGAAATGGCTTCTCGAACCATGCGAATGGCAATCAACTTATCTCCCGCACCATAACAGGGTTGAAGCGGTGGTCCATCATCAACAGAGATTTACCAGGTGCGAGATCTGTTTTCACCTGGACTAAATATCTTGAAGTTCATTACTAACTCTCTCCATACAACAGCGGTATCGCAGGTAAGAGCTATACATGTGTACGACTTCGACAACACCTGTGAGAGCTCCCGTTCGCAATTGCTTCTGTATTTCGAAGCTTATATTGTGCAGTGTTCCTGAGCCCCTTGCCGAATCCGCAACTTTGGAACGGCCCGACGATCGGATTTCTACAAAGCCTGGAAAGTTTCACAAATGGAGGGTGGTGGCACGACCCGGCATTGCTCGCAGCTACAGGTGAAGGCATGGCCAAGGAGGAGCCGCGGGCTTGGAATGGCTGGTGGAATGAACAGATTGTGTGACTTAAAATGTCTTGGATGGTTTGGCATGGTTCGCTGACTGGCCGCAGGTACGGCTGGTCAAGCTGAGTATGGAGCAGAAGGACGCCCTCACAGTACTTCTGACGGGGCGAAGTGAGAATGGCTTCGCGGACCTTATTCGACGCATGGTGGACAGCAGAAAGCTGGAGTTTGACCTCATCTGTCTCAAGCCTGAAGTGGGACCCAACAGCGAACGCTTTTCAACCACCATGGAGTTCAAGCAAACATTCCTTCAAGACCTCGTTCTCACTTATGAGCAGGCCGACGAGATTCGGGTCTATGAAGATCGAGTGAAGCAGTAAGCCTCTTGTCAGACACCCGTGCCTGAGAGATCACTCATTTGTTGCTAGTGTCAAGGGCTTCCGAGACTTCTTCGAGGATTTGAACAGGTCGCTGCAGGTTGCGCCAGCACCTCGGAAGCCGATC